GCATGACTTTTAGCTAAAAGTCTAAAAACGGGATAAAAGTCGAGATAAAAGCGACTGCTGGAGATGCTATTATATTATATTACTTATTTTTCTTTATTATTATTATTGCAAAAGCAAAAAAAAAACCCTAAAAAAGTCTGAGGGTACCCGGAGCCCAGAGACATGTGAAGATTGTACAAAAGAATCCATGTACATCCGACAATCATTTGAGATTAGCATGAAAGAATGTTATTGTTTGTAAAGCGAGCAGTAATAGACTTTTTTTTTCCTCTCTCTCTCTCTCTCTTAAGTAATTCGGTGGTAAGCTGGGAATTACAGCTTTCACACTAGGTTTGACTGAAAGATGGTAACAACCGCCGTTACAATGGGGCCGAGACTCATGTTAATTGAGTACATGACTAATTAAGAAAGATAGTTTAGTGTGATGGCTCAAGATTCACAATTCAGTATGTAACAATGGTGCTGTTTGAGTGATAAGAAAAAAAAATGATGATAGGTGTATGTACATTGATGATATTTCATTATTATTATTTCTTTGGTCCGTATCGTATTTCACAATAATGAAATTCACTTGCTCGGCTATTGGATTATACTCCATAGTAATGAATCTACGACACACTAATAGAGCACAATAAAAAGTGAACTTAACATGCTAATATAACGATGAGGATTTTACAGTGAGCCAGTAGAAGAGGGGTGTGTGAGCGAGAAAAAGAAGACATGTAGTTTGGCTAGATGTGTCGGGGTTTTTTATTTTTTTTTATTTTTTGTGGTCGATCATTACCAAAGGGTCAGAGGTAGTTAGCAATAGAAATAAGTAGAGTCAGCACTCGTTATAGTAATAATTTAGCATGGAAAAGACATGGGTAAAATAGCCAAGCTTTAGAAGCCTTGTAGTATTATGGTCAGTCAGGCAAGTGGAGTTAGTATACTATCATTCTTTTCAAGGATTTTCTTTTTGTGGGGGGATATAATGATAATAACGTGTGAAGCTTTAATTGTTAGTTCAGCTAATTTAAACCATATAAATGTGCAATGAAGTTTCTGTATAATATGGTGCATTTATAGTAGGTCTTGTAGTATACACACTACAATTAAGTGAAATAAAAGCCATGGCCAAAAAACTGGTCTCTTCTTGCTAATAAACCTGGCAAGTTAACAATCTCCAGAACTATCACACACCAGGCACATATACACCACACATTCGTACAGTGTAAACCAACCAACCGTTACACAACACGGATTTGAATAGTAGCAAATATAAACAATATTACTTTGTCTCTTTAATAAATCATGCTCTCACAATATCTACTTCTCCTAATATTGAGATACTCATTCAAAATTAATCCCCAATACTCCACCACCAGCAACTCAATTGGATTATTTGTGCAAATGGTCCATGATCAATACCCACTTTCATTCAGTCAGACTTTATTTATTTATTTATCACCTGCTTCACTCAATTCTTACTGTCACAAATGCAATTGTACGAAGACGTGTATATCTTTGACTCTCTCATTTCAGGCTATAGACATTATCAGAGTAGTTTTACCTCTTACAATCTGCTCTTTTGGCTATATATATATCACATTGGTACGACCAGAACTCGGCTTCTTATGTCACATATCTCGGCTATCATTTTTTGTTAGCTATATCTTGTGTCTGCAGCACACACATTCAACGTCAACTGTCTTTACTGGGACTATCCATTGACCTCCCCGCTCTTATCATGTCTAAACCGTATCATATATCGTGCCTGTTCTCCATTTACTCTTTAATCATACATTCTATCCAAACTCTTGGACGCAAATGTCTCACTCATGGAATATTTCTCTCTTACTCGGCTAAGTTTTCTGCGACTTAATAAGCGTTATGATGATATCGGTATTTTGTATTCAACTCGTTATCAGCAACCCATTACAGTTCTGTTGCACTCACTCTCTCCTCCACGCCTACATCGATCACCCAATCTTTATTATACATTCTCTACAACATACCTTGAGCACACATTGCATGGCATTTAGTTACGAATTACCTATTTTCTTTCCTGAAGTGCAACCAGCCAGTCTAAAGTCGCCTTTCTCCATCACTGATACCCTCTTTTGTGTATTCGACATATATCTTCGTGGTCTCATATTTTGACTTCCCAATGACGCTATTTGTCTTACTTTGCCGTGTTCTTCTATGTGGTTACCACTCATAGAGGGTCTAATGGTACGAGGAGGGTACAATACGGCGGAAAAAAGGGTAACATGTTTCCACTTTCGTAACACAACTGCCATTCATTCCGCCGTAGTGGCGCGCAAAGCAGAGCAGTAATCTTTTCTCTGCTCCGACATCCCCAACGCACATCTCCCTTTCTTCTCACCTCGATTGACCACTCCTCTGCGCCTCACGTCCCCTGTAGTCTCGGACTTTGCTTCATATTTTACCTCGTCTCAACTAGCTTCCTCGTAACCTCTTATAACCCATATTAAAAAACACATTTTAAATACTTGTAGCTACCTTTGCCCTCAAAATAGAAACCCCCTCCCAAAAAATACAATTTGTGACCATGTCAATGATTTTCACTTAATAAACTTTGAGACTATGTCTCCATATTAAAAGAAAAAGCAGTGCGTTTCTTCTTCCTTTAGAACAATATAAAGACATCTTACATTCAAAATAAAAAAATAAAAAAGTGGGGCTTTTCATTAACCTTGGTCCGATCGAGTATCTCATTACTAGTAATGAAGTATTGCAGAAAACTGGATCCAAGAGGAGAAGTCGCAAACGCTTAAATCTTGAAGACCTTTCTGATGCAGAATGCAAGAAAGGATTCTGCTTCACTTTTCCAGAGGTAGTTTATTCTTAACAAATAAACATTGATATATGTAAAGCTACAAACAAAAAAGCCTTTTACTTATTTTTTTTTTAATATTGCAGATAAAGCGAATGTCTGCTTTCATTAATTTGGATAAAATTCTATCGTTTAGACGCAGTGAGACTTATTATATTAAATTTCGATGTGAATTTGCCTTTGCATTGGTTTTGTACAGATACGCATTCCCACGTCGATATTGTTCAATGGAGAGAATGTGGGGAATTAACGAGAAGAACTTGGCTTGCACAGTAAACCAGTTCTCAGTTCTACTTTTTGACATCTTTAAGCATGGGTTTGAGTTTGACTCGCGAAAATTCTCTGAAGAGAACTGCGAGAGTTTTTTATGCTGCCGTGTTTGCAAAAAGTAAGCACATGTCCTTCTAAAGTGTTTTATTCGGTTTTAACTAGTCTTTTATTGTATCTCTCTTTTTCTTATAGGCGGTATATACCCAAATGTAATTGGACTTATCGACGGCACAATGCAGAGGGTCTCTCGCATAACTATAAACGAGGAGCAGAAAGTCATGTACAATAGATGAAAGGTAATATATTAATTATAAGAAATGGATTAAACAGAAATGTAGCTTATAACAACCTATGTATTATATGCCATATTATTTGTACAGCACATCCATTGTCTGAAATACCAGGCGATTGCCATCCCCGATGGAATCACAAGTAAGCATCATTGGTCCTTTTGCGGGAATTAGCAATGACGCGAAAATCTTTGACCAGTCAAAGACCCTGCAGAGACCTATTGCTCATGTGGATCATATGCAGCCAGAAAATGACCCAGATCTCAAATATGCTTTATATGGTGACCACGCATACAAGAAGTATATGTACATTTAACGGCCATTCATGACATATGAGATTGCTCAAGATGGTGAGTTATTTAAAATAGAGTCAAAGCAATCTAATAGCATAGTTCCAATAAATGTGGTACAGATCTGATATGTATATCTTTAGACCGCAGAAAGGAATGGAATACTGCGCAATCCTGTTAGAAACATCATTGTCGATGATTTACTAGGTAGGAGCCATCAATGTTTTTTTTTAATGTTACATATCGCCTGACGCGGCGTTTTGAGAATACAGGTTCTGGAGCTTGTTGTCAGTACGCAGTCAGATCTACAGAATGACATAATGAAAGATGTTCAGACGTGTTATTCCCCCTCATTAAAGTCACTGCTTCCTTCCCTCCTGTTTTAGTTGAGGTCCAAAATTACCATTGATCCCAAATTTATACAAAGAACAATAGAATACTGCCTTGCAGTTAACAAAGAGCATGGGATTTTACCAATTGTTATTGCCTTTGGTATACACCCTACAAAAGAAAATGCAACCAACGATTTAGTAGAAAGTAGCCAAATCATATACGAAAGAATATCCTTGTAAGCCATGGGCTAGATATTTTTTTTTAATATTCTGGATCCTACTATTATCAGCGACTATGTTCATGAGCAACCACTTAAACCATTATTTGCAGTGGAATACTTTTTTACACAAGCAAAAAAAAAGAAAAACATTTGTTGAGTTATAGACAGCAAGGAACGTGCCGATGAGACAGTACAACTGCTTTATAGTATTGCAAAACAAATTTCTGTAAACGAAGTTACCTTGGAAGAACGAACAATCGACGTTCTTTTGAATATGTGTGTGTGTGTGTGCACAAACACAAAAAACAGTTTCATAAAATCAGAAAAGCACTAGAGCTTGAAGATGTGGAAGAGCCAAGAAAACGCACAAGAGAGTATACAAGAAGATGGGTATGCATATTTGGAAACACGCGAGACAAAGTATCGACATACATCTTTGTCTGGACCTTTAGATCTACCAGAAGAAGCAAAGAAAAAGAAAAAGGAAAACTTCTAAACAAACACTAAAGTGCTTGAAAAGAGCCTGGGATGTTGAATGTCAACTGAATAAACCACTTAGCTTATCCTTGTTGTTATTGTTGTTTAATTGATGACGCTGGTTTCAGTGCAAAATCTTTAGTAGAGCATCAAAAATAAAATAAAATAAGAGAGATAAAGTGCGAGCTGTAAAAAGTCCTTGGATTATACCCAACCGTCTCTACTACACTATGAGACGGAATGTGTGTTTTGGTGTAATAAATTATATATAGTGCTATTAGGTGTAATTTTGTGTAAATCTTTATCACTAAATTTGTACCAACTGAAAACAACTCATAGCTGAAGGAATAGGATGGGACAACCAACAATTTTACAAGCTATATTAGCTTCAGTCCAATGGTAAAGCAAATACAACACACAAATGTAAATAGACATCTTGTTGACTACGGTCACTGGATAACCCAAGACCGCTCAGAAATAAAAGCTTATATAAAGATATTAGAACAGACTTGTTGATAAAAACCACAACCCCTGAAGGCTACAGCTAGACATCTTATCAGAAGATACACAAACAATTGATGAAGCAAGAAGTTTGATGAGAAAACTATACAAACAGTGGTGAAGCGTATGATAAAGGTAAGCTTTAGTACTATTCACGTAGAGTTAAGGAAAAATAATATAAAGTAAAAGTCCTATATTCTGCTTAAACTGAAATATACTACGGCGGAATGAATGGCAGTTGTGTTACGAAAGTGGAAACATGTTACCCTTTTTTCCGCCGTATTGTACCCTCCTCGTACCATTAGACCCTCTATGAGTGGTGACCACATAGAAAAACACGGCAAAGTAAGACAAATAGCGTCATTGGGAAGTCAAAATATGAGACCACGAAGATATATGTCGAATACACAAAAGAGGGTATCAGTGATGGAGAAAGGCGACTTTAGACTGGCTGGTTGCACTTCAGGAAAGAAAATAGGTAATTCGTAACTAAATGCCATGCAATGTGTGCTCAAGGTATGTTGTAGAGAATGTATAATAAAGATTGGGTGATCGATGTAGGCGTGGAGGAGAGAGTGAGTGCAACAGAACTGTAATGGGTTGCTGATAACGAGTTGAATACAAAATACCGATATCATCATAACGCTTATTAAGTCGCAGAAAACTTAGCCGAGTAAGAGAGAAATATTCCATGAGTGAGACATTTGCGTCCAAGAGTTTGGATAGAATGTATGATTAAAGAGTAAATGGAGAACAGGCACGATATATGATACGGTTTAGACATGATAAGAGCGGGGAGGTCAATGGATGGTCCCAGTAAAGACAGTTGACGTTGAATGTGTGTGCTGCAGACACAAGATATAGCTAACAAAAAATGATAGCCGAGATATGTGACATAAGAAGCCGAGTTCTGGTCGTACCAATGTGATATATATAGCCAAAAGAGCAGATTGTAAGAGGTAAAACTACTCTGATA